CAGGCAGAAGTTAACAAAAAAATCATAATTCACTAATCACTTTCAAATCATCAGGACAATCACATGAACTTCAAGTAGGCATGCTCAAATCCGTATAACCCCCACTAGCAGGTTACAGGAACGAACCGGTTCTAACAGGAACATATCGACATGTGCCGACATGTGCTAGCGTTTAACCCCCACTAGCAGGGTTACAAGAATATAACCACATCGGAGACAAAACAGGCAGAAGTTAACAAAAAAATCATAATTCACTAATCACTTTCAAATCATCAGGACAATCACATGAACTTCAAGTAGGCATGCTCAAATCCGTAAAAATCATAAAAATTTTCAGTTCAAATCAGTCATACGTACTTTGTATAAAACGGGTTTAGTCCCGCCACCACTTCAAAAAAACAAATCAAATTAAAATGTGCTTTAAAATCAAAGGGCGTTACCATAATCTACTTACCTTAATTGCACAGGATAGAAGGCTTAATCCAAGTGCTAGGATCACAGGGCAATCAAGGACCTAATCACAAAATTTCCAAATTAATGTCTATAAAGAAATTTTATTTCTTTATTTATTTATTTCTTTTTATTTTTCTATCCGAAAATTGAGCATTCACCGGGATTGGGTATTTATATATATACATATACAATTACATAATTACCCATATAAAATTTATCCCAAATTCATGGACAGGAATGAGAGAACCGGCTTGGACAAAAATTGGGCAAGGCACAGGATTTTCCTCATTTTTCTCTCGGACACACACAACAGCCAAATTTAAGGATTTTCTACTTAAATCATCAACCAACCCATTTTCAAATTGCCAAAACTCATCCCCCACCTCCGGCATCTTGTTTTTGGACAACCCAAACACTCATACAACCAATTAATTCACAAAGCAGCCATTAATCAACAACTTTTCAGAGATTAGAGGAGCTAACCTACCAAAAACCTTAGCAAGCAAGGCTGGAGCTGGCGGTATGGGGAAGAGCCGACGGGGAAAATTGGGGAACTTCCACGGGGCCACTAGCAATTGAAAGAACAACAAGATTAGAGTGACCCAACATAACTCAAGGCTGAAAAGAGGAGTTTCTAGCTAATTTTACTAGGAAAAACCAAACTCACACCCAATTGTGGCTGGCGGCAGGGAAGGAAGAAGGCAACAGATCCAGAAGTTCTGGGTAGACAGATATACTCCTAGGCTTGAAACTTGGTTCTTGAGAAAGAAAGGAATGAAATTCAAGAGGGCTTCACCGTTTCTCAACAAGAGGGAAATCGGTGGCTGGGAGGGGGCTTTCGGGAGAAGAAGAATCGGGAAGAAAAACAGAGCAGACCGCGTGAAAATGAGGAAGAAAAGAAAAAAATATCTAAGCTTGATCCTTATCCAAATTGGTTTGCTTTTTAGCCCCTTGACTTTTGAAAATCTGATGGTTAAGTTTAAAAACATTATTTTCTCACAATTAGGTCCCTAGCTTACACTTAATTGTTCTCGAAAATTTTGGGGTATTACAGCACATCTAGACGAGAACCATTCAGGCCACCCATTATCGGACAGTTTAATAGGGTTATCGAATTAGAGCAGACTGTTGAATCATTGAAGGCAATTAATCAAAACCTTCGACAACAGGTGTTTAATGTTTTGGCAGATAATGATAGCCTACAGCAGCAACAATCGACCCTTGCGACACAGATGCAGTAACTCTACCAACATTTAGGGATGACCCCAGTGGATACCAGTGGGACAGTCACCCCTAGGACACCCCGAGATATTTTTGCTTTTCATATTTCAATTAAATATTTGTACTGACTTTATATTTGTAATAGATATTGGAGACTTATATATTTATACTAAATTAAAAAAATTTCTAGCATTTTATATGATAAACATCATAAATTATATGAAAATAATTCAATATCATTAAATTATGTAAGGAATATCAAATTAACTTATTTTTTATCGTTTTTGTCCTTTAAATGATATATACGGACCGATACCGGTCCGTATATACTTATACGGACCGATCCCGGTCCGTATATACCTCAACAGAAACCTTTTTTTTTTTCCAAGTTACATTTGGTGAACTTTAAAATTTTTCATATATATATGTTTATTTTATTACGTTTATCAATTTTCTTTTATATTTATGTATATTTTGTTTTTTGTTTTGTAGTAAATGTGAAGAATTTCAAGTAAAAGCATTTTTTTATTTTGTTGTAAATTACATTATTTA